CCAAAAGGCCCAGGGTACTGAAATTGGGCCTGTAGCATGCTGGGATGAAGGATTACCATGTTAGTTCAAATGAATGACCTTGATCCACTTTCAACCTAATGTCCTTGTTCGACAATCAAGGTCAGAGGCGTCATATGTTTAAATCTTTTGATAGGTTCTTATGAAATCTTAAGATTACAAGTGTTAGATTAATAACAGGTGAGCGATACAGGCCCATTGGGCCTCTTGTTACATTGTATTTCATGTATCAAGTTTTATTTTTGGATGTGCAGCCTTTGGGCTGCCATTCTATAGGCCTTGTGCATGCAAGAAAAACCAAATAACTGCCTTTATTTTCTTGTTGTTGAGTTATCTATCCTCTAAAATCTGACAAAATGTTCTTTATAAACAACCAGAACAATATGATACAGTTTAATAAATGCTATTTATTAACTGTATAGGTATGCAGTGTTATCATGACCAACATTGTTGTATATGTCTTATAAATCAGCATACACATGTTTATACACATAACAGAAGAAATAAACAATACACAAATATATACATTTCATGATCATCTACATTTAAGGTTTGGCCTTGGGGGCTATATCATACTACACATATATAAGCTATGGAAATCTCACGGATTACTGACGTTATCATACCAGGAGTGAACTTTCACCCCTTGTCCCAGGATTACTGCCAATATATCCCCCATGGAGCGAAACGGTCGCCCCTGGTTCCAACGGCTGGATGATATTTCCCATTATAAAAAAACGGACCCCAATGAGAGGATATTTCTGACAAACCTGGATCCAGACATGATGAGTAGCTCATATACCTGGATCCCATGAGAGGATATCGGATCAGGAAATTCCTGGGTCCGCATGATATCTAGATCTAATTTTCTGGATATAGATCCCATGAGAGGATATTTCCTGAATCCTGGATCGGACACATGGGCCCCGTTAGCCAATGTTGTACCAATCCCAAATGTTCAAAGTGGGTCTGCGAAAAATTCATGCAGAACTGTGTGCGAAATATGTTCCTGATTTAAAGATGTTTTTTTAATTTTAATAACAACCTCCAATCATCAAAACAGCCATTCGTGTTTACAATTGGTGTAACTAATTCATATTAAAGGCCTCTATTTTACAATTGGGGTAACTAATTCATATTAAAGGCCTCTGTTTTACAATTGGTATAACTAATTCATATTAAAGGCCTCTATTTTACAATTGGTGTAACTAATTCATATTAAAGGCATCTATTTTACAATTGGTGTAACTAATTCATATTAAAGGCCTCTATTTTACAATTGGTGTAACTAATTCATATTAAAGGCCTCTATTTTACACTGCTCGATGCAGATGAATACAATGCTTTAGCTTTTGTCAGAACCATGTGCTCGCTTTAGGTCAAGTCGTAGCTTCGTAATTCTCAGACGAGGGCTCTCACTGTCGGTAGCTAACACAGCCATTGGCTCTTTTCGTTATTGAATCGGGTACTAGCTTGAAAAATAGAAGATAACCTGAAACTAAATCCCAAAGATGCAAGTCTACATTGGCCAAACTGTCAGATCATTTTGTTGAAACACTGCATCAGACAAATTTACGTGTTTACTATATCAAATCTTTTTTAGTCCCGAAGCATGCCTTACTACATCAGGTATTTGTTGTATATCGAAAGAATATATTGCTTTTGAAACACTGTGCCAATTTTAGGCCTTTGGTCTAGTTGCCTTTGCTATCGCGATCACTTCATGGCAGCACGACTTAGATGTTGCTTTTCCGGCAACAGCAGCGACAGTGTCAATATTACGTTTTTGTGTTTTAGTTAGTATCTCTGAAAGTATAAGTGCTACACCACCCAAACTTGGACCATAGATGCATCTTAGGTAGTACATCTCAACCCATGCATCAAATGCTGGATGCGGCCTACCTTTCATGGTCCATTGACTTTGTCAGCATCTCCATCAACATTAAGTTTTCGCATTTAAGTTAGTTTTTCTGAAAGTGTAAGTGCTATACCACCCAAATTTGGACCATAGATGCATCTTAGGTAATACATCGCAACCCACGCATCAAATGTAAAATCTCAAAATGATGTTTGTTTAGATTCAAATGAGTACAAACATTCAACATGAAATTTTCTCAAAGGTATATGTTAATGGCTCCTCAGTCAAAAAAGTAATAAAAAACTTTTTTTTTTTTATCTTTCTATGATGTTTTTATTTGAATTTCAGATTGATGACTCCCATTGAGATCCTCATGGCTGTAACTCTGCCAGGTTATGGTACCGAGACATGCTTCATTAGTCAGCAAGGTAAACAACATTTATAGATTATTACACTAGTGTGAAACAGACATGCTTCATTAGTCAGCAAGGTAAACAACATCAATAATTTATTGTATTACACTAGTGAAAAACAGACATACTTCATTAGTCAGCAAGGTAAACAACATTGATCATTTATAGTATTACGCTAGTGTGAAACAGACATGCTTCATTAGTCAGCAAGGTAAACAACATTTAAAAATTATATTGACAATTTATAGTATTACACTAGTGTGAAACAGACACACTTCATTGGTCAGCAAGGTAAACAACATTGATCATTTATAGTACAGTATTACACTAGTGTGAAACAGACACGCTTCTATGGTCATCAAGGTAAACAACATTGATCATTTATAGTACAGTATTACACTAGTGTGAAACAGACACGCTTCATTGGTCATCAAGATAAACAACATCAATAACTTAAAGTATTACACTAGTGTGAAACAGACACGCTTCATTGGTCATCAAGGTAAACAACATCGATCATTTATAGTATTACACTAGTGTGAAATAGACACGCTTCATTGGTCATCAAGGTAAACAACATTGACAATTTATAGTATTACACTAGTGTGAAACAGACACGCTTCATTGGTCATCAAGGTAAACAACATTGATCATTTATAGTACAGTATTACACTAGTGTGAAACAGATACGCTTCATTGGTCATCAAGGTAAACAACATTGATCATTTATAGTACAGTATTACACTAGTGTGAAACAGACACGCTTCATTGGTCATCAAGGTAAACAACATTGATCATATATAGTATTACACTAGTGTGAAACAGATACACTTCATTGGTCATCAAGGTAAACAACATTGATCATTTATAGTACAGTATTACACTAGTGTGAAACAGATACGCTTCATTGGTCATCAAGGTAAACAACATTGATCATTTATAGTACAGTATTACACTAGTGTGAAACAGATACGCTTCATTGGTCATCAAGGTAAACAACATTGATCATTTATAGTACAGTATTACACTAGTGTGAAACAGATACGCTTCATTGGTCATCAAGGTAAACAACATTGATCATTTATAGTACAGTATTACACTAGTGTGAAACAGATACGCTTCATTGGTCATCAAGGTAAACAACATTGATCATTTATAGTACAGTATTACACTAGTGTGAAACAGATACGCTTCATTGGTCATCAAGGTAAACAACATTGATCATTTATAGTACAGTATTACACTAGTGTGAAACAGATACGCTTCATTGGTCATCAAGGTAAACAACATTGATCATTTATAGTACAGTATTACACTAGTGTGAAACAGATACGCTTCATTGGTCATCAAGGTAAACAACATTGATCATTTATAGTACAGTATTACACTAGTGTGAAACAGACACGCTTCATTGGTCATCAAGGTAAACAACATTGATCATATATAGTATTACACTAGTGTGAAACAGATACACTTCATTGGTCATCAAGGTAAACAACATTGATCATTTATAGTACAGTATTACACTAGTGTGAAACAGATACGCTTCATTGGTCATCAAGGTAAACAACATTGATCATTTATAGTACAGTATTACACTAGTGTGAAACAGATACGCTTCATTGGTCATCAAGGTAAACAACATTGATCATTTATAGTACAGTATTACACTAGTGTGAAACAGATACGCTTCATTGGTCATCAAGGTAAACAACATTGATCATTTATAGTACAGTATTACACTAGTGTGAAACAGATACGCTTCATTGGTCATCAAGGTAAACAACATTGATCATTTATAGTACAGTATTACACTAGTGTGAAACAGATACGCTTCATTGGTCATCAAGGTAAACAACATTGATCATTTATAGTACAGTATTACACTAGTGTGAAACAGACACGCTTCATTGGTCATCAAGGTAAACAACATTGATCATATATAGTATTACACTAGTGTGAAACAGATGCATTTCATTGGTCATCAAGGTAAACAACATTGATCATTTATAGTACAGTATTACACTAGTGTGAAACAGATACGCTTCATTGGTCATCAAGGTAAACAACATTGATCATTTATAGTACAGTATTACACTAGTGTGAAACAGACACGCTTCATTGGTGAGTATGGAGATTTGGATATCTATATGCTGTCAGCATTGACCCAAGGGATCAGCCCTAAGGTTTTATCTACCATACTTGTTTCATTGAGAATTTTTGCTATGATTGCTTCAATATCCAGGTTAGCCACATGGCCTCGGACCACAATTACATACCCGTCAACCCTGGATATACTGAAAGAGGGTGATGACCATCTTTTGAAAATAAAAAAGTGGGTCATAGCATGCGACGCCTTTTTTTGCAGCAAATATAAGAAAAGTAGATTTTAAATTAAAACTTTAATATTTAAATGATGTAAAAGTTACATTCTACATTCATTGAACTGTGCTTCCAGCAGATCTAGCTGATCCTCATCCACAATACCAAATTCAATGCTGAAAAATAAAAAGATTTGTCAACAACACAACTTGTAAAATTATTTCATAATAGCATATATGATACTGTGTTTTTACAGGCATTTTTTATGTCAATTAAAATGGTCCTGACAATAAGATGTCGCATTCTACTCATATAAAATACCATTTTGTTTCTGTCAATAAAAATGGTCATGACAATAGGAAATTGCACCCTACTCATATAAAATATTAGTTTTATACGAGTAGGGTTTGAATTCTTATCGTCAGGATCATTTTGATTGACAGAAACAAATCATCAAATGCCTGTGCGTGTTTTTGAATGTTTTAACATCGTTTTTAGCACCAGGTCCAACTGAAATATGCAATTTACAAAGAGAGCAGAATGCAGGGTTGGGTCCATGACTGCTGGAGTTTATCCACTATAACTCATTTTCATGTGCACAATTATCTTTTCTTTTGGCATTTCCTGTCGTAGAACTTACAAATCCCGACAATGACTTCTTCCTTCAAGAAGACATAACGTTACCTTAAAAATATGATCTGTACTACATAAATACAATTGTATAAACAACTCAATTATTCGTTAAAACACCTCACTAATTACTTCAGTAACAACAGTCTTTATATTAACATTTGTATAAACAACTCACTGCAGGCCTCAGACCACAATTAATTTTACTATATGTTACTACCAAAGGATAAATGAAATTAAAATATTTTAAAACTTTGCGCAAGGTCTGGTTCCTATTTGTGATCTGAGGCCATACAGGCCCTGGCCTATTGGCCTCTTGTAGGACATTTGTATTACCCTAGTGCTGAACTGGGACATGCTACATTAGTCAGCAAGGTAAACTACAGTATAACACCTGTATGAAACAGAGACACGTTACTTCAATATAGTCATCAAGGTAAATATATATAAACATTTATTTATTACATAACAGTTTACCACATTAGTTGACAGGAAATTGATAAAGTTGTTTGTTTTATCTGTGGTAGGTGGGGTGCTGTTTGGATGGAGTCATTGCAAGGAGACAGCAGAAGTCTACAGGGAACATGTGTTCCAGGTGGACTATGATGCTAGGCTAAGGGGCATGCTACCCTTCCTCGGCTATGGGCCACGCTCATTTTTACCAGTGTACTTACCAGGTGACTCAGACATACAGGCTAAACATCCAGGCCACGGACAGGCAGGGTGGTACGTGTTCATGAGGGACGGACACGAGGGTATCATAGGGATCAAACTGTTCTGTTAATGTCACAGACACTGGAAAGTAGGGACACTTCAAAGCCATATTCCTGTGTATACACCTGGCAATTTTTATCTACTTTCAGGCCATTACATATCAATGGTGGATCTGTAGCTTGTAGTGATCGAGGTTTGTGGATGATAAAAAGCCGCAAAATTCTTTACCACATCAAAGTTTGACAGTGGCCTCCCCTTGCCACTACAGATCCAGAAATTCACAGAAATGCATACAAATTTAAATAAAAAATACAAAAGGTTTGTCCGGACAACTTCTTCTAAAGTTATGGATTGATTTCAACGAAACTTTCCAGATATGATAACTACCACCTGAAGTTGTGCATCCAGGTATTATTTTTTCATTCTGGCCCTTATTTACTAAGTTTTGGCCCTTTGTGGAAAAAATCCTGAAACATTGTCTCGGACAACTCCTCCTAAAGTTATACTGATCAATTTCAACAAAACTTTCCAGATATGATACATACCACCTGAAGTTGTGCATCCAGGTATTATTTTTTCATTCTGTCCCTTTTTTACAAAGTTATGGCCCTTTGTTGAAAAATCCTTGTCCAGACAACTACTCCAAAACTATAGGGCCAATTTCAACGAAACTTTTAAGAAAAGATAACTATCACCTGAAATTGTGCATCCAGGTATTATTCTTTTCATTCTGACCCTTTTTACAGAGTTATTGCCCTTTGTTGAAAAATGCTTGCCCGCACAACTTCTCCAAAACTACTGGACCAATGTCAATGACAGTTTTCGGATATGATAGGTATTATTTTTTCAATTTGACCCTTTTTTATGGAGTTAGGGCCTTTTGTTGAAAAATCCTTGTCCTGACAACTTCTCCTGATCTACTGGGTAAAATTTCAAAAAATATATGGCAACTGACCCTTTGCGTAGTGCATCCAAGTAATACTTTTTTATTCTAACCCTTTTAAAAGGAGTTATGGCCCTTTGTTTAAATTTCTGGGTCGATTTCAAAGAAATTTACAGATATGGTAATTACCCCTGATGTCGTACATCAGGGTAGTATCTTTTCATTTCGATCCATTTGGAGTGCAGAATACAAGAATTAAAGGTCACTTTTACCTATGTTTTGACCTTTACTTTTGAAAATGTTTTTCTGGGGTATATCTTCTATACTATTTCACCTGGTATATCCAGATTTGGTGTAGAAGGACATATTGGGATGGTGGAGTGCAGAATGCAAGAATTAGGTCACTGTTACCTATGTTTTGACCTTTGACCTTTACTTTTGAAAATGTTTTTTCTAGGGTATATCTTCTATACTATTTCACCTGGTATATCCAGAATTGGTGTACAAGGACATATTGGGATGACGGAGGGTGGAGTGTAAGAATTAGGTCACTGTTACCTATGATTTGACCTTTGACCCTTACTTTTGAAAATGTTTTTCTGGGGTATATCTTCTATACTATTTCACCTGGAATATCCAGATTTGGTGTAGAAGGTCACCTTGGGATGGTGGAGTGCAAGGAGTAGGTCAATATGACCTCACTGTGATCTATGTTTCCTGACATAAGTATACTGTTTGTTAAATATAGAAATCATTACCAATGGGAGACTATGGATTGTTATAATGAAATAAACTATTTAAAATTATCTCCAAATATTACACCAGTAAAATCAATCAATTGAACAGAAGAATCCATCTAACGTGGTAAAGGAGATATGCCATTTCTTGACGTTAGTAAATTTTATTTGAAGTGATACACAAATAATTTCTCTTCAATTGTTCGTGGCCATCATTGGAGACCATGAAGCATTAATAATAGGTGACACCCTTCATCCTGTATTTTCTGCAGTTTTATTTGTAGGTGGCCGTTATTCATTAAGCATCATTGTGATATTTTTTTATTACTTATTTAAAAATACATGCATTTTTGTAAGCTGAATATTTTGTATATTATCAAAAAAATAGACTGTACATGAACTTATCAATAAAATAATGGTACATGCAATAATTCTGTTGATTATTATTATCACAAACAAGCTTAAGCTGTGCCATATGCCTTGTACTGGGCCAGAGAAGACATCCTTCAGGCAAGTATTTCATGTCACTTTCAGGGTACAACCAAAGATGTGATGGAGAACTATCATTACAGGTTCATTTAGTAGTTTGACCCCTGTGATTTTCACAGGTCACCACATTATTATAGGCCAAGGTAAATAAAGGTCTGGTTTACACAGATTACCACATTATTACAGGCCAAGGTAGATACATGTCTGGTTTACACAGATTACCACATTATTACAGGCCATGGTAGATAAATGTCTGGTTTACACAGGTTACCACAACATTACAGGCCAATGTAGATAAATGTCTGGTTTACACAGATTACCACATTATTACAGGCCGAGAAATAAATGTCTGGTTTACACAGGTAACCACAACATTACAGGCCAAGGTAAATAAATGTCTGGTTTACACAGATTACCACAACATTACAGGCAAATTAAGGTAGATAAATGTCTGGTTTACACAGGTTACCTCAACATTACAGGCCAATGTAGATAAATGTCTGGTTTACACAGATTGCCACATTCTTACAGGCCATGGTAGATAAATAGCTGGTTTACACAGGTTACCACATTCTTACAGGCCATGGTAGATAAATAGCTGGTTTACACAGGTTACCACATTCTTACAGGCCATGGTAGATAAATAGCTGGTTTACACAGGTTACCACATTCTTACAGGCCATGGTAGATAAATAGCTGGTTTACACAGGTTACCACATTCTTACAGGCCATGGTAGATAAATATCTGGTTTACAAAGGTTGCCACATTCTTACAGGCCATGGTAGATAAATAGCTGGTTTACACAGGTTACCACATTCTTACAGGCCATGGTAGATAAATAGCTGGTTTACACAGGTTACCACATTCTTACAGGCCATGGTAGATAAATATCTGGTTTACAAAGGTTGCCACATTCTTACAGGCCATGGTAGATAAATATCTGGTTTACAAAGGTTGCCACATTCTTACAGGCCATGGTAGATAAATAGCTGGTTTACACAGGTTACCACATTCTTACAGGCCATGGTAGATAAATATCTGGTTTACAAAGGTTGCCACATTCTTACAGGCCATGGTAGATAAATATCTGGTTTACAAAGGTTGCCACATTCTTACAGGCCATGGTAGATAAATATCTGGTTTACAAAGGTTGCCACATTCTTACAGGCCATGGTAGATAAATAGCTGGTTTACACAGGTTACCACATTCTTACAGGCCATGGTAGATAAATATCTGGTTTACAAAGGTTGCCACATTCTTACAGGCCATGGTAGATAAATATCTGGTTTACACAGGTTACCACATTCTTACAGGCCATGGTAGATAAATAGCTGGTTTACACAGGTTACCACATTCTTACAGGCCATGGTAGATAAATAGCTGGTTTACACAGGTTACCACATTCTTACAGGCCATGGTAGATAAATAGCTGGTTTACACAGGTTACCACATTCTTACAGGCCATGGTAGATAAATAGCTGGTTTACACAGGTTACCACATTCTTACAGGCCATGGTAGATAAATATCTGGTTTACAAAGGTTGCCACATTCTTACAGGCCATGGTAGATAAATATCTGGTTTACAAAGGTTGCCACATTCTTACAGGCCATGGTAGATAAATATCTGGTTTACACAGGTTCCCACATTATTACAGGCCAAGGTAGATAAATGTCTGGTTTACACAGATTACCACATTATTACAGGCCAAGGTAGATACATGTCTAGTTTACACAGATTACCCCATTATGACAGGCCAAGGTAGATAATAATAATAATAATAATAATAATAAATTCTTTTATTTAGACAGGGTAACATATTTAGATTTTCATCTACATGTAGTTTACAATATGGCCCTGTAAAACACATTATATATACATACATAAAACAACAGCACATCAAGCATACAGAGACATATGACATACAATAAAATTGAAAAAGTAGTTAAATAGTACAATACATTATTAAGACAACCTATTATATTGTATCACTAAATATCACAGAATTGCATTTAGAACATTAGAAAATATCACAGCGTATTACAAGACAATACATACATATATTTATCACAGGGTAATGTAAGGATTATCTCTGGAAATTATATTAAACAGAAACATAGGGATAATTTCAAATATTGTACTTTAAAATATACATATAGTATATACCATATAGTAC